TTTCCACCTAAAAGAAAGACTGGCTAGAAGAAAGACTCCTGCAGACTCCGATTGTGATTTGTAATTCCCACGCCTCTCTCCTGCACAAGCATGCAGAGACTCTCGCACGCACGCACGCACGCTCGTCTGCTTCTTGCTATTGCCGAGGCTATCTTTCTCTGCCCAACTTCACCACTATAAGCGAAGGGCAGTGAGTTCAGGTGACCTCCATCATGGTTCGCTCACGGATCTCCTGCCTTGCCTTTCCACGTCCAGCGCTTGCGATCGATGCGCAGAGTGGGGCCGAACGGAGGCGGCGCACGCCCGCCCGAAGCCTCCGGGAATTGGCAAGCGTGTGCAAACGCATCCAACTTCTGCCGAGTTAGCCGCTTGTCGCACCGGGGGTTATCAGAGTCGACTCGGGGTTCGGTGTTCGGCTACTGCGGGCTTCAGCGCGTCGACTATCGCCACGGGGGGGCCAGCCAGGGCAGTCATGGCCTCGCCGGTCGACTAAAGCTGCGATCGACACCAGGCAAACTGCGCGCACGCCATGAGCGCGATTGACGTACTCACTCACACTCGACCGAATGTGACTACCGCACCGGTACACGCACGGTACGCGCTGCTGATGAGGAGAGGCCGATTCTATATTTCCTCAAGCGGCTCCCTCGACCCTATCGTCAGGTACTGTATAGCCATCACATCCCCCTTTAGCTGCGCGCTTCACCGCGCCGCCCCCCGCCAAGCCTCGCAAGTTTGCATGCGATAGCAAGGCACAGTAAGGTTGCCGAACGGGGGCGCGGGCTGCTTCTGCTGATGACTTAATTGCTGCATATTTGCTCGCTGCTGCTGCTGGTGCGTTTTGGGCCGTGCGCGCGTGCGTCGGCTCATTCACACTCGTGACCCTGACTCTCCTCGCGCTGCCCGCCTAGCGCCGACTTTTACTTTAGTTGGCCGATGGAGCTGTGAGAGAATGCTGCATAGGTACATGTACGCACTCTGCAATTCGCGCTTTCCGAAGTCGCGGCTGGTGAATCGTGAATCACGCCGGCGCGCGCGGCGGAAGCGAGCCCGACGCTTACGTTTGCGGCTGCTCATCATGCATGCTGCTGCTGCATGCTCGTGCTGTGCTGCAGCATCACTGCGTACCGACGCGCGCGCGCGCGGGGGTGCGAGAAGTGCATGAGCAAGAGGGAGGGTCGCGCGCGCGCGGTTGCAGCGGGTCATCAGCAGGAACACACGTTCACAAGTGACTTTCGCGTGCCCTATGCGAGCGCGCAGGACATCTTTTCACTGCGACAGCCACATCGCGATGGCTGATGCTGCTGC